AGGGATTAAAAAACCTGTTTCACTAGGAAGGTGGTGAAGCACTGGAACAGATTAACTAGGGAGACGGTGGAATTTCCATCCTCAGATGAGGCTTGACAAAACACTGGCTGGGGTTGGGCCTGCTTCAAGCAGGGAGTTGGACTAGATGAGCTCCTGAAGTCTCTTTCAGATCTAATCTTCTAGGATTCTGTGACTAAAAGGGCTAATGTAACCCTTGGATGCATACATGGGGAATTTCCAGTAGAAATAGAAAACTACATTGCCTCTATACTTGGCACTGGTGCAATTACTGCTGGAATACTGTGATTATTTCTGGTATTGATAATTTAAGAAGAATGTTGATCAATGGAAGATGGTTCAGACAAGAGAATGATAATGATTATGATTAAAGATGCCTTATAGTGAGAGGCTCTGGGCATGATTACACTACCCACCGGATCCACTGGAGGGTGAAGGTTGATTTATTGTGTCTAGTATAGATACGATAATCAACTGCTAAATGCTCTCCCATCCACTCTGGCACTTGCACTAGAATGAGAAGTGTAGGCAGAGCTCATGGGAGAGTCTTCAGCTTCAGTGAAAACACTGCAGTAAGTATGCCGACTTGAGCTACTTTTTTCACATAGCTGAAATTGCGTAACTGAAACTGTTGGTCCATAGTATTGTAGACTAGACCTTTAGAAATTCCATATATTTAATTTAACAAAGAAAAAGTTAAGGGGTGACTTGATTAACACACTATATAGAACAAATTTGTATTTAATGGCAGACATTACAAATCTAGCAGAGAATCTCGATCCAATGGCTAGAAGTTGAAGCTAGTCAGACTGGAATAATGCATACATTTTTAACAGTGAAGGCTACTAACCACTGGAACAATCTGCCAAGGGTTGTGGTGGATGCTCCATTGCTGACAATTCTAAAATCATGATTGGAAGTTCTAAAAAGTACGTTCCAGGAATGATTTTAGAGAAATTCTATGGCCTGTGTTATATAAGAAATCAGACTCTATCACAATAATGTTTTCTGCCTTTGGACTCTGAATAGCATACCTTTAAAAAAAAAAAAAAAAAAAAAGAAAGGTATACTGATGCAATAGAAATTGTAACATTGTGACATTAACATCTTCATTATATAGTACTCTTAGCTAATCCATATAGATACTCATTTTTACCACAAAGTTGCAGTGGCACGTCATCTTTGGCCACTTCTATGTTAGCCAGATAAAATAACAAAATGTTACAGACATAACTTAAGCATGTGCACTATGTTATTCAGAAATGTCCTGAACACAATAAACTAATGTACATTACATAAAAAGTTTAATTATGATGTCTCCTGCCAGTTGAGGTGAACTCAAGTTTCACATTTGTGCTGTACTGCAAAAGTGGATTGCAACAATTGTTTTCAAGAAGTAACAAACAAAAGTGCCTAAGCTATGTTGGCAAGCACTCCTTCAGAGTCAATGCTTTCTACAGCTTGCAAAACATGGGATAACACATTGGTCATTTCGAAGTCCACATTGTAACAAAATTAATTACATATTAAGATAACCTAGACTACTGTGGAATAATACCAATTTATTTGCCTCTTCTAGTATGGAAAGACCTTGATAAAGTGAACTGAGCTGTACAGTCTAGCACTATTACTTTTATTTTCATCTTTTATGAAGACCCCATATTTGTTCATTTTCAGGAACACATTACTAAAGAGATGTGGATATGTAAAACCAACAAGTTACCAAAACTACATCCAATCTTCAGACAACTATTTTCGTTACTGTCTTTAGGAATGTTATGTGTTTTGGAAAGAATTTCAGGAAGTCACCACGTAATAATTATGAGTTTAAAGTACCCATGATTCGTGAGGATCCATTGCTTGTAAACTAACAATAATCTAGAATCCATCTGAAAAGATTAAAACTAGAATGATAATGGACATCACAACAGGGGAAAAGTGCTCTAATTTAAACTGCTTTGGAGACTATTACTACTTCCTGCAGATTCATGGAGCTGCTGGGATGTGTAAGTGAGGGAGAGAAAGACAGTATTATTCTCTATCAGCCATTATCATGGTCCTTCAGAATTCAGTGACTATTTAAAGTACAATGTACCAAAGGAATTACTTGCATTAATGTGTACATGTGGAACATCTCTCTTTCCTTCTCTATTATTCCTTTCCTTCTCTATCCTTCTCTAGTCACCATTATTTGACCAGTTTAAACCCTGTGGCCTCTTCCAAAAAAACACAGGAAGGAGAGGTGTATGCAATCTTCCATTTAGAAAGTCAGCATAAAGACCAAGAACAACCGAATAAAGTAGTAGGTTGGCAAGAGAATGGTATGAGAACTGGTAGTGCTTCCCAACAGGCAGTTTTAGCCACTCTAAGAGAGGATAGAGCACGTTAATTTACAATTCAGGTTGGTATATGTGAACAAAGTAGTGTAAAAGAGAAGAAATTAATAAGCAAGTAAACAGAAAGTTTTATAGGCAAATAGATCTATGAAACTATCCCCAATATTGGTCAAGTTAGCAAAATGGAAAAGAGGTGAAAAAGCATCTGTTGTGCCAAAATAATTTATTGGGACTCAGATACCAAAGCAAAATATTGCATAACCATTTAAAAATTATTTTTTCTTGCTTTTCTGTGTTCAAGAATTAAAAAGTAAAATTACAAGCTATTTTTATACATAAGGTAAGGAAATACTTGTTTATAGTTGCTTTGGAAAATCCCGCTCCCCCTCCAAAATCAAAATTAACCTTTTTTTCTATAAAATCACCATGAGGGACATTTGAGGAAATGTCCAGTTTAGTTACTAGTTATTCAGACCAATACTACTGTTAAAGTCAATATGCAGAACTTCAAGCAAATTTAAAAACATTCATAGGTTTAATGTGATTCCTAAAAATAAGAAGCTAGCAAATTATTTTACATTCTAACTATAAAATTGCTCTTTACTTTAGCAACCGAATGATTTCCAATAGTGCTTTAGCTATGCACAATTTTTGTAAAAATATGTTAGCGCAATTAGGAATTTTAAAAAAGCCCAACCAAATTAAAAACAACAACGCCTAAACCACAGCTCTAGATCATAATGAAAGACAAACAATATTTTGGTCAAACAGGAGTGGGGCATTGGGGAAGGTTAATGATTCTTTGCCAAGTATCTGTTGAACGAGTATTCTAAATCTTTATCTATCTATAAATATGTTATAGAGTGTGTCTGTCCGTGAGTTCATTTATTCAAGAACTCCCCCTAAATGTCAAGAGTTAGGGCCACCGAATTTGATATGCAGCTTCTTCTACTCCTAACTTAAAGCATGGTAGGAATGCTAATTCCCATTTAATTGGTTAAAGATGAGGCTTATGGGTTAACCATTCACATAAAGCAGGGTCAGGGTTTGGTTATGCCAAGACAACCAAAAGCCCCATGAAAAGGATTTTTTTTCCAGAACATGCAAACGGAGGGTCTGCTGTTTGGAGGGACGGGATATGAGAGTCACCACTTGTGGCAGAGAACCCTCAGGGGAGAATTATGCTCCAGAGTGTCCACCGGGGGATAGCAAATTATCACCACCCAGGGAGTGTCCAGGACTAGGGCTCTGCCATCTTGCCCACCAGCACACAGAGTAAGTAGCCCCCTACCCCAAACCCTTTTTCTCCTCCTCACAGCTCTTGGCTACCGCTCCGGGTAGTGGAGGGAAAAAAAATGGCCGCTGGTGATGGGAGGGAAGGCTGGGGAAAGAGAAAAAGCCCTTGTGGTCCAGAAGTCCTGGGGGTGAGAGGTAGGGATATTAGCAAATAGTCGACTGCTCGATAAACAGAAGCTGAGTGGAGAAGCCGACTACTCACTTCGCCTCCCCTTGCTGCTTCTGCATGAGATAGCTGGGGGTGGGGGAGAAATCACGAGACGGTGCTGGGGGACCTGGCTTAAAAGCTGGATCCCCCAGCAACATCTCCACAGTGCTGCCTCTCCTTCCCCCGCCTCTATCACAGGCAGCAGACGCTGTTGGTTGGGGTCCAGGCAGGGAGCTGGGCCCCACACAGACAAGGGCTGCTGCAGCCAAGCAGCCCCTGTTCATGGCAGCCTGGGCTGGCCGTAAACACGGGCTGCTGCTGAAGCAGCCCCTGCCCATGGCCAACCCTAGCCTCTTTGAACAGGGGATTCTGAATTTGGCACATGCCGGGATTGAGCAGTCCCAGTTCGCACTGATCTGGGACGCTGCACCTCTGCATTTTAAATGCAGTAAAAGCCTGGGAGCTCTTACTACATTTAAAACCTAGAGCCGCAGTGCAGATGGCTCCTAGAGGCGCCACAAGCCAGGACTGCTCAGTCCTGGCTCAAGTTGGATCCAGGAGCTACTCCCACTAAGCTCTGCAGAACGATCCTTATTCACTAATCATGTAGTCAATACAAATTTTATCAACTACATGATTAGCCAGATAACCACAATTTAACATCCTGAGTGAGAGGGGAAGGCCCCTGCCGGATGAGACTGCCCCCCCACCCTAAGCCTCTCCTCACTCTTGCGCTCTTAAGCAGCCTCCTGCACC